AAGAGATAAGAGACGCATTATGGCTACACCCATCTTGAATTTGATATACTAGAGACTCAGTTCCATAGGTCACCCACAAAAGGCCAGTGAATAAAAAGATGGTCAATGTTCTCTTTATCATTTTTATATCGTAAATTGATGTTCATGATGATCATACCTCTTTTATGGAGCTGATCAGTAGTTAGGGTTCTAGGATGGCCTAATACATGTTGGAAAACCCTCATCTTGTGTGGAGATTTACACCTCCATTATCTATATATAGACATATTATACTCAATAAACCGATCCATGTATATGGTGTCGTAGAGGAACTTAATCGCAAAGATCCCATTAGGCTCCAACATCCAAATTAGGTTATCATCTTTCCTTGGATAGAAGACAAGTGTGTACAAAGTAGAGAGCAAAGAAAAGAATTGTTGTTCCACTCTATAATCCACCCTTTTAATATCCAATCACATGTACTACAACATTCCACCAGCTTCTCTCGTAACCATGGAAACAGTGGTCATATTTTTCTGCTTGGATCTCCTGTAGAGGTTTAAGAATCTGAATTTGAGCGAACAATCATCATGCCACTTGTTGTGCCAAAATCTGGTCTTTCTACCATTTCCAACCAGTATCCTACCATAAGCTAAACAGAACGGTCTCACTGAGAGAATCCCATTCCAAACTATAGAGACACTTGAAGGCATGTGTTTAGCAATAAAATCACTAGGATCATGACCATACTTCCTAAAAATGACTTTCTCCCACAAATGATTTTTTTCGTTCAAAAGCCTCCAACAACACTAAGTAGGGCTTCATTAACAACTTTCAATTTACAGATGCCTTATCCAAGCATCGCCCTATTTCATTATAAGGATTTTATTTTTATGTTGATTCCTACTCTATAAGAAATTCCTCATGAAACCTTCAAGCTTCTTAATAATAGAAGTTAGGGCTCTAAATAGAGAAAGGTGGTAGATTTGTAGGTTTGCCAGTGTTGCTTTAATGGGGATAATGCGACCTCCTAGAGATAAATAACTAGCTTTCCATCCATCAAACTTACCTCCTTGGATCTGCCACTTATTAGATCGTTTTAGGGCAGTGGCCCATTAGACTTTTGTTTCTTTCCTTCTGTTGGCCTCTTAGAAGGCCTTTTGACTGTCTAGGACCCATGTGTTTGTATGTGGTATATTTCTTATCTTTCTTATAGATGTATGTTTGTGCTTTCTAACGGACCTGTTCTTTCTCTTGGCACATGACTAATGTATATGGATCAAATGCTATCTCTAAAAAGAAGGTTTCATGCATTAACTAATATTATTACTAGATGCTCAATTCCATGGTGTTGGGCAAGGGATTTTAATCAAACTAGGGGGCCACATGAATCATCAACTGTACAACGGCAATCGTGATGTTTGATAATTTTATAACTAATAATGGCTTAATGGATTTCAATTTGGTGGGAGCTACATATACATGGACCAACAATTTTATTTCTCAATCACAGATGTCCAAATTGGACTGTTTCCTTGCCTTAGATCTATGGGAAGCTAACGTCCCTAAGGCTTTGGTTAAAGCATTTCCCCATCTGGCCGTTGATCTTGTCACTCTATTGCTAGACACAGAAGCTTTTGGTCCCTCCCCATTCCATATTGACCTTAAGTTGGAAAGTCCCGTACGGGAGGAAGTTCTGAGTCTATGGAATAATAAAAACATTACTGGACGGTCGAGATATACAATTAGTGCAAGCTAAAGTGTTGAACCAAAGGAATGGAAGATTAGTAAGTTTGGAAATTTAGCTCAAAATATTGTACAAATATCAAATAAATTGAGGTTCTTAATGGGGTAGAACAACGACCGGGGGCGGCGGGGGGGGGGGGGGGGGGGGGTTGGGGGTAGGGAGGAGGGTGTG